ACTCAACGTACAAAAAACCATTTACCAAGTATACAACCAAATGGGTAATATCATTAATTTGAACATTATGATACATGGTGAAAAAATTGAAATAGCAGAAAAAGTAAAATATCTAGGCATCACTATTGACCCTGCCTTGAAGTGGAAATACCACATCGATAACATAGCAATCATTATCAGTAGAAATATTGGAATCTTGAGTAGAGCGAAGTACTTTCTTCCTGAAAAATCATTACTCTTGCTCTACAACTCACTGATTCTTCCTTACTTAAACTATTGCTGCCTAATCTGGGGTTTCACATATCCAACTTATCTCCACAAAATCGAAGTATTACAAAAACGAGCAGTTCGAATTATAGTAAATGAACATCGTCTTGCACATACTATGCCCATATTTCGTAAGCTCAATGTTCTTAAAGTAAACGCACTAGCTAGACAACAACTTATCATGTTCATGTATCGAAAATTCGCTTCACATTTACCATCACAACTTAACCAATTGTTTGCTACAGTAGATCAGGATAATATAAGAACAAGAAATAGACAACATTTTCACGAACCCTTCTCGGCAAAACGTTATCGTGCACAAATAGCATCATGGATAGGACCGCGTGTCTGGAATAATGTCGTTGCATCCCAATTCTCTATAACAACCATTAATCAGATGTCTAAATCTCAGCTAAAAAGACACGTCAAAGCATACTTCATACAAAATATGTAAGCTTTCTCGAGAATTTCCTCTTGAATTCTCGCTATCCTTTCATTGCAACTTAATTTCAAATGTACTTGCCTCAAAACTGCACTAATTGCAAGTAAATCACGTTTCATCGAAATTATTTTCATCATCGTCACCATGAATAACTCTGGCGCTGGAGCAAGGAGCCTGACCAGCAACAAGCTTCGCTTAGCTGGAAAGGCTTTTCTGCCCTCAGCATTGACCGGCCGAATTTTTGACCAGAGCGAATCCCCACGTATGTTTGCATGACGTGTGAATGAGCGATTGTTTTTTCTACTCTAGATGAATGCATGCCCTTCTGAGTGAATGTTGCTTTCGGTATCGTAGTAGAGAACAGTCATCTGTCTGGTTTTAGCAGTGGCTACTTTCGCATTCTGTTCTTGTCTCCGCCTAAACCCGCTACCCCTTCTCTCATTTGCTTTTTTTAGTTTTATTTCCTTTCTTAGCAGGGAGTGCCGCGACTTATCAGTTTATTTTATCTGGTGTTAACGTAAGGTTCTGCTAGTCGCTGGGTTTGAGGGCGGGGGCACTCCTGGTCACCTGATCATGGGTGGCGGAGTAGTTCGAAAAAAAAAAGCTGGACCGACTCCGACTCCGACTCCTGGCTGCTTGCCACGACTCCGGGCGACTCCGACTCCGACTCCGACTCCGCCTCCGACTCCGAAACCCTGATTAAGGTCCCACTAGCTTGCTGTGGACTCCGAAGTCCGACTCATTGAGATCTACTCACTGATATAGGGCCCCGATGCTTTGAATATAAGAATTAAAACACTAATACAGGCCAAAATGGCTGATTACTTTTTTAAACATAAGTCAAAAGGGCCCACTTTCGTTATATATTAGGTCCCCCCCCCCCCCAGGAAATGGAATTAACGGGGCCCGGGGGACGGTCCCCCCGGTCCCCCCGGTTTCTCCGGCCCTGAGGGTGGTTAAAAATGGTTGCGGATAGGGTACCCGCGAAACACCGGTTTACTCGCCGGCCTTGGGTTAAATTATTTTCAGTGTGCTTATTCCATTCCATTTCATTCCAGTATGCTTATTGGACAACCACAACACCTTAAAATGATCGACAGCGATATGTCGCTATGTTGCGTGGTTCTCGAGTACTTGGGAGGGGGGCATAATGACCCCTCCCTCCCTACCATCAGACCGCCTTGCTCGGCAGGCCCCATCAGAGCGCGGGCTGATAACTCTGAACGATGCACGAAACTGCCCCAGGTATGGGACACTTTCGTGCAAGGGGTGGAGCGCTTCCGTGCACCCTGCAAACTTCGAGAAATTACGGGACATTACCAGAAATTTACCAAAAGAAATTGGCGGGGGCCATTTCACTCGATTTCTTTCGACAAGAATGAATTGCACAACACATGTACAGCGTGTCCCAGAATTGACCGAACACTGTTAATCAGTGCATAAGATAAGGGGAAAATAATTGCACTTTTTTCGTTTTATCGTCTGATATAGCCAATAAGGGTATAGCTTCGAAATGGCATATATGCAATAGACACGCTAGCTACAACATGAGCCGACAATTGTAGCTAAATGCCAGACGATGCTGGCCTCAGTCGTTTTACGGGTCTCCCGAAACTGGTTGTAAGACGGTTTTCATTGACCTCTTGCCGGTGGATACTATAAACATTTTCGATTAACTTTGCATCCAAACTGTTCCCAGGCCATAAGGCCAAAACCACCCAATCTAAAAAAAAAATCTCCCAAAACCAAAAATTCTGCCTACACCACTGCTGCGCTGTTTTTTTGACATCTGAAGTGGAGAGCCTCCATGCCTGAACATGGCGTGACCTTTGGCTTCCAACAGATTTGGTTTCCAGAACAAACCCGTTTATGGCCATTCAGTTCACGACAACCAGTTTTTTGTAATGCTTGAATATTACTGCAGCAGCAATCTGTGTTAACGGTCGTCTTTGGGGCATCGTATCAAGCTGAATGAGTGCACCGTGGCTCAAAATGTCTCACACTTTGATTTTCGACGAGTGCCTGGCCGTCTCCGCTGTTTGGGCGTTGTCACCATCTGACGTCCACACACGACTTTTTTGTCGCTTCAAAGGGCAGAATACATTCGTAGGGCCACAAAGTGTGTTTCCATTCACTTTCTTGTTGCATATGTTATGATTTATGGCTGCTTTGTAGCGATTTGCGCTGTCTTTGCGTTAGTTTTGGCATATTTTTCTGATGAGGGGCCCAAATTCCAAAATTTTGTCGAAGATAGTGGTCTAAGTAGGCTTTCGGAGTCGTGGTAGTGCTGTTCCGATTCGGACTCCGACTTCGACTCCGGGCTCCTGACCGACTCCGACTCCGACTCGGACTCCGGGCTCCTGACCGACTCCGACTCCGACTCCGACTCCGACTCCACTCGGACTCAGACTCCGACACCGGCTCCCACTCCGGGTCTGATACAAAGGGCAATGGTGGCTGCCAAAATTCCGCGTGTTAGATAACGTCCAAGGGGAGGTCGCTCCCACATTCCGGTTTCGTTTATGCGGTCACTATTTCTCCTACAAATGTTCGGCCAATTCTGGGACACCCTGTAGAAAGAATGGGCTGGCCAACAACAATGTGCCAACTGCCGGCCATCGACCCGCCTCCGTGACCTCGCCAAGGTCCCGTGAATTACTTGTCACGACGTGGCAAGCAGCCGAGACTGAGTCAGGTGAGCGTCATAAGTAAAACCTACTACAGATAGTCATAAATCCCAAAAACGAAAAAATATGCACGAATGTGCCCCTATAGACATTGCTTACACAAACCTGCCCCACAACGTTTATACGTAATATATTTCAAAATTCCTTGTTGAAAAATGACACTTTTTCAACAAACAAATTTGTAGCAGTTCCGTGAATAGAGTGAGCTTCTTCGCCGCCAATTTTGAAAAGCTGAACCACATTTCCGAGTCAGGATCACGAAAATGGATGCTATGGAAAAGTTTGGAAAGCGCACGAACAATACAACTTTGCATTTTTATCAAGCATAACAGCAGGTACCTACAGTTCAGATAGCAGGTACTGTTTTCTGCAGTGAACGAGGGGCGGCAATGAAAGACATTTTTCATAATTGACTTTGAGCTCAGGCAGTCACTCGTGTTCCCATAAACTGCTAAAAACGAATGTGTCCCATGCACGGAAGTGCCCGCTCTCCCCTGCTCCAAAGATTGCTGAACAACATGTACCGCAGGGGCGGATCCAGAAAATCTCCAAGGGAGGGGCCATTAGAAACCAGGAGGCCCCCCCATAATCCCACCTGTTGGGGGCCCCATCTTCCCACTTGTTGCCCCCCCCCCAAAAAAACTGCGTCTATTGAGCTTATCTAGCTGTTCAGGCAACATCTCAACATCTGTGCAGGCTTGGAGGCCCTCTGTGCAGGTTAGGAGGCCCTGTAAAAGTGGTCATCTCTGTGAGTATAAGAGACCTCCAAGTTATGAAAAGCTTTACCAATCTTCTAACAAAGAAGTCTTCTCAGCTAGTCTTCTAAGAAGTAACTAAGTGGGTAGGTTAAAAAGAAACTCATCGGATTTCGGCCACTTTATTTTCAGGAGGCCCCCTTTTCAGCTTTTTAACTTTTTAACTTTTTATTTTATTTTTGAAAAAAATCGGCCAAGGGGGGGGCCATGGCCCCCATGGCCCCCCCTTGTATCCGCGCCTGATGTACCGTCATAAGTTGACGTCACTATGGAAACAAAACCGTTAAATAAGAGTCATTTTTACCCAATATTCGTAATCTGGGCTATCATGAACCACCTTCGTCAAACTTTCATGAAAATTTGAGGGGTTCCTGTGTAAAATCGCACTTTCAGTGATTCATTTGGCATGGAATGACACATGTACCTACAATTCAAAAACCCCAGTGCACAAAGTCTGACGTTCAAAGATGACGGCAATAGGGACAACGGTGGGTGGAACCAGCCTCCCTTTGCCAATCACCTGTGACTCTTTTTGCATTCAAGCGTCGTGGGTTTCACCTTTTAAATAGTCACATTGACATATTTACATAGCGTCTTTCCTCATTCCCTCAGACTTCGCCTTCAAAACCTTGCCCACGTTCCCAGAAATAAAAAAGCTTGAATGGAAATAACCTTGAACGCAATAAATGACGAATCGAGTGGCGGCTGGCAGAGCACACCGCCAGCCGTGTGGCGGCTGGCACAGCACACCGCCAGCCGTGTGGCGGCTGGCAGAGCACACCGCCAGCCGTGTGGCGGCTGGCAGAGCACACCGCCAGCCGTGTGGCGGCGCGCTGCGGAAGCGCTCACCGGTGCTGGGCGCCGCTGTGGCCGCCAGCAGCAGCAGCAGCAGCACCGTCCGCCGCGGGAACCGCATCCTGCCGGACGGGCCGCCGCTCCGACCCCCTGTCTGCACGGGTCGCCGCTCCGACTGTCTGCACGGGCCGCCGCTCTGACTGTCTGCACGGGCCGCCGCTCTGACTGTCTGCACGGGTCGCCGCTCTGCCGCTCAGACTGTCTGCACGGGTCGCCGCTTGACCCCCTGTCTGGGCGGGTCGCCGCTCCGACCTCCCTGTCGCCACACGGAGCCCCCGTGAGGCCTCAGGCCGGTCCTTCCTGGAGAGAGACAACAAAAAGCCTTGCTGCCTCTCCGCCGCTGCGTCCCTACTGCACTGGTGACGTGAGCGGGCCACCAGTGACCACTGTACCACAGCCGCTGCCCACTGACCACTGAACAGGGACCGCCGACCGCCGACCACTGGCCACTGGTCTCAGTCACTGACGGCTGCAGGCGGCTGGCGGCCGGGACCTCTGACCGCGGGCGGCGCGCCGGGCCGCCGGGACCGACACCGTGCCGGCCCGGCAGTGTAAACACAGCGAGCTGGCAGCAGCGGCGGCCGCGCCGGAGTTTCCAGGCGCGCAGCAGCGCACTGCCCACTGCCCACTGCCCACTGCCCACTGCCCACTGCCCGCCGGGGCCGACCGGGGCGGGGCGGGCGTCCCGCAGACAGGGAAACCCGGCCGGCGTCCACACCCACACACACAGCTCTGGAGCCCATATTCAGACCAGATGCAGACCAGATTCAGCCCGGACTCAATCAGCACTCAGCCCAGATTCACAACGCATCAAATTGACAGAGAGTCGTTCCGTGCCACTGTCGGTGCTCTGGCCTTACTGGTTCATCAGCTGTTCATTACTGATTGATCAGTCTTCACTTCCATTAGCTGGTCAAATTTTGGGGGCCATGGCCTTGATTGGCCTCTGGGTCAAACGGCTAGCGGTTAGTGGGAGCAGCCGCAACCAGTTGAAGTTAGTTGAGTAGGACTGGCCGTGTCCGGCTTTGAGGGGCACGTGGAACTTTGGCATCTAAATTCTCCGGTTATCCGGAATTGCGCGATCGGACGGTAGGGGTCGGGGTCTACGCAACACGCTCTGCTTAACGTAGACTCCGGCTCTGTCAATCCGTCCATTCAAACATTCGAGCTAAATTTATATAAGAAAAGTAACATTGTGTTTACAAATACAGTACGGTATATTATTATTATATTAAATAAATATATTTTCATAAATAGGGGCACATACTTTTCTTAAGTTCCTAGTTTTTTCTTTTTAACCTTTGTCGTCTGATGCAGGTGTTCGGGTACGAAGTGTGGTCTGCGCGCCGTTCGATCGTGGCACAGCTCATAGTTCACTGCACGTCACTGTATTGGCACTGCGCGTTTCTCGTACCGAGCGCCGGGCCGCACCCGCAGACATAGCCGACCAACCATCGAAACAACATACTCGGTCTGAAACTTAACGCAGAACCAACCAACGACACAACATACTCGGTCTGAAACTTAACGCAGAATTATTGGGTAGGTATCAATAAAAATACAGATATCTTAAGCAAATGAATACAACCTATGCTTAGTAACACAGCTTCAGGCAAAATAAAACAGAGTTTAACTCACGGTAAATTAACATTTTAACCGAAAGAGAAACCAGTAGCAAAACAGCAATCAGGCAAAGGGCGACATTCAGTCACAAAAAAAGTTTACCTCTCGCACACTCTTGAACTAGCCCATCGAAGTCGCAGCGCGCGGCGCACCCAAGTCGCAGCACGCGGCGCACCCAAGTCGCAGCGCGCGGCGCACCCAAGTCGCAGCGCGCGGCGCACTCTCCCACAGCCTTGCCCACAGCGCGCGGCGCACTCTCCCACAGCCTTGCCCACAGCGCGCGGCGCACCAAAGGCAGCGTGCGGCTGACCGTCGCCGCAGCACGGGGTGCCGGCGAGGTTCCGACTCAGGACCGCGGGCGGCTGGGCCGCGGAGCAGCTGGGGGGGGGGGGGGGCAGAGCGTAAGGCACGGCAACAAATAAACGGCGTACGGATCGTCCGAACGAGAACCAGTCAACAGTGTGGTGTTGCCTGAGCAGTCCACTGCAGTGGACTGCGAGTTCCGTTCTGAGAAGAGCCGGACGGGCGTCCCCAACTGGCCTGCACTGCACATACATTGTACACCAGCAACAACAAACGGCAGGGCAGTAGACTATCGAACTCGCTCGCGACAATTATTCCTCACCAGCGCACAGTGGCCCTTTTTCAGAATTAGCACGCATTAATTCCCACATTACCTGAAAGTGGTGCAAGACATCACCACGTGATCAAGGACGTATTCCCTGCCAATGCAAAGAGAAGAAAAGAAACGAACTGCCCAACGGGACTCGGCCCAACAGCGACAGGCCGCTCGGCCCAAGATTTGGCGCACGTTCGCACGGCTCGCCCGCCGGCCCAGGCCGCTCCGAACGCAAGTGGGGCGTTCCACGACAAATCGACAAGTGCCCTGCACCCTCATATTTTATTTTTTGCTTAAAATTGGTCTAATGGGTTGTGATGGGCGGGGAAGCCAGCTGTGGCAAGGATTTTTTTCTTCGAACAACGGTTTCCGAGATATAGCCTCGGGCAATTCTTGGAGTTTGCGCTGCAGCCCTATGTTTGGCGGCCTATAACTCAGAAACTATTAGTTTTTTTTTTCAGGATAAAACTTCATATGGCTCAACTCACAATCAACCAACAAACATTTTGGCTATCTCGGATTTTCAATTTTTGAAAATTTTGATCACGTGACCTTTTTTCCTATTTTTCAAAGAGTGACCTTGATATTTTCCCCACTGAAAGTTGCAATTTTGTCTGATGACGATTAAAGCCTTATCAATTGTCATTCATATGCGATAATAAAAAAAGTGGTTATCGCCCTGCGTTGACCTCAGGTCAGGTCATTTTTATGACCTGTCCATTATTACGAGCGGGAGCGACACCGAGATCTCGAGAATAAAGCAAGATAGCGACAAGCGGTAAACGGTAAAGGGTACACACGGATAAGGTCTATAATTTTTACTGAGGTCATTTTCAGGTCAGGTCAAAGATGACGTCACAGGAGCTATCAGGAAGTCAAAATAGCGGCACAATACATATATATGAAGTTTTTCTCGAATAACTTTCAAGGTATCCCAGCTAGGAACAAACTAATAGCACCATCGTGATCCTCTCGTCGATCCGCATCGAAACATATGTATGTTGACCTCGAAAGGTCGAAAGGTCAAAAGTTGACCCTAGGTCACGTGATCTAAGGTCAACTTTTGACCTTTCGACCTTTCGAGGTCAACATACATATGTTTCGATGCGGATCGACGAGAGGATCACGATGGTGCTATTAGTTTGTTCCTAGCTGGGATACCTTGAGAGTTATTCGAGAAAAACTTCATATATATGTATAGTGCCGCTATTTTGACTTCCTTTTAGCTCCTGTGACGTCATCTTTGACCTGACCTGAAAATGACCTCAGTAAAAATTATAGACCTTATCCGTGTGTACCCTTTACCGTTTACCGCTTGTCGCTATCTTGCTTTATTCTCGAGATCTCGCTGTCGCTCCCGCTCGTAATAATGGACAGGTCATAAAAATGACCTGACCTGAGGTCAATGCAGGGCGATAACCACTTTTTTTATTATCGCATATGAATGACAATTGATAAGGCTTTAATCGTCATCAGACAAAATTGCAACTTTCAGTGGGGAAAATATCAAGGTCACTCTTTGAAACTAGGAAAAAAGGTCACGTGATCAAAATTTTCAAAAATTGAAAATCCGAGATAGCCAAAATGTTTGTTGGTTGATTGTGAGTTGAACGATATAAAGTTTTTATCGTAAAAAACCAATAGTTTCTGAGTTATAGGCCGCCAAACATAGGGCTGCAGCGCGAACTCCAGGAATTGCCCGAGGCTATATCTCGGAAACTGTTGTTCGAAGAAAAAAATCCTTGCCACAGCTGGCTTCCCCGCCCATCACAACCCCCTACACTAGTTTTCAACGAATAATAAAATATGAGGGTGCAAATTTAATTTTTTATTTGTCGATTTGTCGTGGAACGCCCCAAGTGTGGCGAGCCCGCCATCCGACCACGCTGCACTGACCGGCAGGACGCCCCAGGGCGTCACGTGACCGCATCTACATACAGCTGTTGCCAGCCACCGTTAGTCGGCCCCGGCCGGGCAGCAACTAAGGTCAGCGCGACGCGAACAATACAAACACATAGGCGCTTTTGACGTTAGATCTTAAGCCGACCACGGGACTTGTGCGGCTTGGACATCAAACGCAACAGGAAATCGGACAGTTTTTCTTGAGCACAGCGTTATGCCTACAGCTACATGACATTTCAATAAGCACATCTTATGGCAAAAGTCAAGCCACATTTAGGCGCACACCAGGTGACACCAGCTTCGAGCCAGGTCAATGAGCTTAGTCGTATCGAACAGGAGCCACAGCCACTCGCGAACTGAACCGGCTCACGTTATCCATCGTAGAAGCAAAATGGCGCAGAATGGCGCGATGCCCTTTGGTGGACATGGTCAGAAGAGATCGGCGATTCCAACGATGTATAATACGACATGTTCCAGAGTGTGCTACTTAACATAAAGCTTCATATGTATGCCGCCATCTCCAGTTAATAATTGTCCTGTTATTGTGTCCACAATATTCGGCAAAAGTGGTCTATTTGAGTTTAAACAATGAAAATTGTGGTTTCTAGGGCTTCTACGTAAACTCAGCTTCACAACCATGCCACTAATTTTTAATATTTTCTCACCGAAAGCCTTACAAATTGATGTTCATCTCACCCTACTTTTTAGGGTCCGCCGGCGGTGTCCGCGCGCCTCTCGACAAACTTCGATTTTGCGGTCAGTTTTACCAAAGACGATAATTTTTTAGGAGGTAAAAATGGCACCATCGGATAGTTTGGAATGTTTTGCACACGATTAGACTGCTTTTTACTCAAAAGAAGAGAAAAAATATTTTGAATTTATGCGTGCTAATTCTGAAAAAGGGCCACTGTGCAGCGTTTACCAATTCAGTATGCTAGTCCGAAGTCTCACTTAAGCACAGGCATATTTACAGCTTACCTTAACCAAGGACTCAGCCTGTCTGAGTCCTTTCTTGTCGGCGGATGTCCGTCAAGAAAGTTCAGCGCAAGGCCTGTGCTGAATACTTCACTACCTCGTATCGAAACAGACGGACGACAACGTGGACGGACATCCGCCGACACCTCATCGCATCAAGGAAACCCGAGCCGAGAGCCGCGCCGCTGCACCACACTGACGCGGCCTGGGCGGAGCGACTGAACCGCCACTTCGTGTCGGCCGGTGCAGATGTCGCCACTGCCCTGTCCGCGACCGCGCAGGGGACGCCACTGTCGCCTCGACCGCCCCGTGTCATCAGTGGAGCGTTTAAGGTGCATGTGGTGACGCTCCCCGAGCTGTCACACGGTCTGAG